AAGAAAGCGTCGCACAATACTCCTGTTACTGCTGCGCCCGCGAAGAAAGCAACACGCAACACTGGTGCACGTGGGAAGAAGGCCACGCGCAACAATCGTCGAAATAGTCAGCCTGCTGTTGTACCAATGCAGCCGGAAAACTCGTCACAGAGGACCTCGGAAGTAGAGGACGATGCGATCGAGGAGACTGCAAATCTGTTCCACATGAGAGAGGATGGACGGAAAGATCGTAACAATGCTAAGAGCCGTCAGCAGAACAATGTTCGTATCCGAACATGATAAGTGCATACAGGAACGCTGACGTCGTCTGTCCACCAGAATGATCGTAGAATCGCACCGAATAATGCAAAGCCTGACAAGGTATGCAACCATATATATCAGAAACGCCCATATTTATATCATGGTTATGAATAGGGTAAGGGTCGCGCGAACAGAGTTCAAATAGAAGTCGAATCGAAGTTAGGGAGGGAGGCAAGTATGAATTTCCAGTGTGAGGACGAAGATGAGAGCGAGGACGAGGTGTGTGCAGCTATCTTTGAAGCAGAGTCATTTGGATATTGACTGTCACTCGCAGAGTCTAAATGACCATAATAAACAACCCTCGGGAGGACCTCCAGCCTCAAATGACGAGGTATGTCTTTCATATCTAATTGTGATAGATACGTGGATTAACCGTCTCAAATTTATTTCCTCCAGCGTGCTATGTCGCCACCAAAGCCGTTTAGTCAGTATGTATTTGGAATAGATGAGGTAGGCTCGTCATTCATCTCTCCTCATCGATTAGCTTGACGTCATACAGGACACTATCGGTGACGGTAGTAATATTCATGAGCATCGGTACCTCCCATCTACGATGGACGAGTGGAATCATTGGCACAGAATTGCGGTACACAAGGGAAATTCACAAATCTTCCTTAAGCTTGGTACATGGATCCTTCTTCGATACAGACAGCTCGCAAGGATTCGAATGGATGCTGATATTGACGGTCTCCTAATTCCCGAGGATCATGACATTTTCGAGATTGAAGATCCTGATCATTTGAACGAGGCCCTAGGAATGACTCGCCTCTATGCTGCTCTCGCGCACATTGAAAATCATCCGGAATACCTGGCGCATATCTTCCATGCGATCGGAAAAGCGTCGTTTGAGGAGCGACTTGGAAGTAGTCACCCTGGCTTCAGGACCCTTCCAGAGCTACCTACACCTCTAAAAAGGTATGCTGCCGTTTAGATGTATCACACAACTAACTCCGCAAGTAGCATGATTCTGGATCATACTTCATCATTCATTCAGGGCTGGAATTGTGTCGAAGAAGATGCAGAAGGTGATACTGACGATGATGAAGGAGTCACAGGTGCGCTAGATGAGATGGTGATCTCTAGCACGTCACAGTCAATATCAGCATCCACGTCATACGGTCAGGATCCTCACCAACACAAGAGGACGAGGTCGAACACACTGTCGCCGCGCAAGGTAAATTTCAGGTTTTTATATCACAGGGAATAATAGTTTGACCTTCGTCAAATAGGAAGACGGCGGACGCGGGTTGTCGAAGCGACCAAAGGGTGATTCAACACAGGGTTTTATTCGTCCCTCACCTCCGATTGAGACATCCATCGACACAGCTGTGATGTCCATTACAACGGACATCGGGCCTGAACACAGCGATATCCAAGCAACCGGTACTGCTAGCATCGTATCATCAAGGCGGTCTGCCTCTCCCGCCACACTCAACCGTGAGATGGATGTCATTTCGCACTCAATCCCACTTCCACAAGGAGTTCAGTCCCAGGATGACATCAGGGTGTGCATATCGGCTACCTCAGGTATTCACGGCACAGATGATGCTATCACACATCCTGCGAGCAACTCTTGTGACCGTGATACCGACATCATGGATGGTGGTGGTAGCGACGGTTTAGGCCAGTCAGGCATACCCGGTGGTCTTCAATCAAAGGATGATGAAGCTGTGACTATTCTCGTTCCGTCAACTCCATAATGAGTCTATGGATTCACCAGCGGTTGTTTGTTGAAATCAGAGGTCCTTATCGGGCGCTTGATAAATTCTTTTTCATTCTTCATATATACTTCATACATGCTGCTACATGTTGATCTTCTACGCAGACTCGTTGTACTATGTGACAATACTCAATGTAAATCTTAGTAATGTGACATCGCAGGAGTATCGTTTCCTTGAGAGATCATCTCTTAAATAGAACTCGTCCTGCCACCAAGAAATTTGCAAAATGTAAATATATGATATGCACCCGGAGAAAATTCAGAGGACCCTCCCACTACTGTCACATCGTGATTATCACCTCAATCATATTATATTTGGTAGGTTATCCACGCAATCTTAATTCAAACAGAGGCCTAGCGTTTAATTGATTGACTCGAACGACGGAGTTTGGAAATATTTCCTCATGATGCCATTATAAGCGTGATTTTTCCTAGTGTGATGACACTCGTCAACGACTAGAAGAGAAACCTGTCTTGCGCGTAAGACAGTTTAGTTTCAAGAGAAGGTTAGTTGAATACCTTGTCGATGCTCCAGTGGGAATGTGTAGCTATGTTTAAGAATATCTGTGCTAATAACGTTGCGTCGGTCATCAAAGGGAAGCTATGATGGAGGTACATACCAGTCATGACGACGACGTCAGACTTCTCGAACGATGATCTCCAATTGGCACGATTAGTAAGCTCCAGATCAAGAGGTCCATGGAACTTCTTGACTCGCAATGGAGTGTGCGCGGCAATGAAGTTGGCCTGTTGTTCGACCAGAGCTACCTTGGGTACCAGAAAAAAAAAGACTTTGCCGCGAGCGCTCTCTTGTAGCACGATCCATTTGATAAGCAAAATACTGATAAAAGTCTTTCCACTGCCTGTGTCGAGTGCTGCAACGACATTACATTCTTGAGCGCGTTGAAAAATCTCCTCTTGATATCTTCGAGAGAGAATGGCCTCGTTGACGGATTTTATGGAGGAGTCTTGAGTAATGGTCACTGCAATTGAGATAAATGGTGTTGAAAGAGTATACATGCTGTGGTGGGATGCGACATATATATCATTGATATATATGAGACGCGACACGTATATTGATATCAACGCATTAATTCATAAATCATGTATCTACTATGTGTTTTGCTCGTAAATTACTCAGTAGTAGGGCAGCGTCATTCCAAAGAGAACTATCAGTAAATTAATTATCTAGATGCATTGTAGACTAAAACGAAACCCTTCTTCAACAATTGAATTAATAGTTGTGTGCAATTCGGAAGGCATGATCGAGACCTTCATGACGGGTTTGTGCTTATGTAAACTTGAGCCATATATATTACAAGATTGTGTGGCGTGTGAATATCACGTGATGGTTGAAAATGGTTGATGTCGCCACTCGACGCTTTCGTTCTTTCCTTCATACCCTCATGTTCTCTACCAACCATGTCCTTGCTGGAGTTCCTTTGGGAACCTTGAGCCGTTGTGCTCTGGCATCGCATGGGAGGTGATCCCTTGTGTCTAGCGCCTTTATAGGCGTCTGGCCGTCGTCGATGGTCGCACGAGGCATCGTTCATTCGTTCGTCTCCCTCTTGTATTTTCCAAACCAACCATGTCCTTGCTGGAGTTCCTTTGGGAACCTCGAGCGCTGGAGTTCCTTGGGAACCTCGAGCCGTTGTGCTCTGGCATCGCGTGGAAGGTGATCCTCGTGTCTAGCGCCTTTATAGGCGTCTGGCCGTCGTCGATGGTCGCACGAGGCATCGTTCATTCGTTCGTCTCTCTTGTATTTTCCAAACCAACCATGTCTTTGCTGGAGTTCCTTTGGGAACCTCGAGCCGTTGTGCTCTGGCATCGCGTGGAAGGTGATCCTCGTGTCTAGCGCCTTTATAGGCGTCTGGCCGTCGTCGACAGTCGCACGAGGTATCGTTTGTTAGTATCCCTCTTTCATAACCCAAATCTATCATATCATTGCTGTCCTCCCTCATGGGATCCATTACTCTGTCGTTCTAGCACACGACTTTCCCAGCCGCAACTCATCTTGCTCAATCTCTTCAGAGAAACACGGCCGTCCGCTGCTGTCACCCGTCTGCTCTATCGCCCCAATACTGTCAGCTTTGGGTGTTTGTGTTGGATGGGTTTCTCTTCGTGTTGGCGATCATGACCACGACTACAACCAACACCTATCGACACTGCCTGCTTCTTGGCTTGCACGAATGTATGCCTCGCATCTCGATGTCTAGCCATCCGCATGCGCCTCGGTGGATCGGATCTCGATGTTCATACGATGTGTTTAATACGACGAATATCATTTGTACCACGATATGTCCCCTCCACAGGCATTTATACAAAACGTATCACGGCTCTTCATTGTAGCCTTGTGCAAGATCGAAATTTGCATATCAGTGACATTGCTACCCACGCACTATTTTCTCTTTCAATTCAACATACTCTGGCTGGACAATGCGTCAGATGCGTCATATGTCGTGGCCGCCTAACACGATGCATGAAGGTTTCGTTTCAGTTTACTTTCTTTGGGTGTTGTGTGCAATCCCGCTATCTCGGATCAGTGTCATAGCAAATGATTATGGATCGCTCAATTACATCTGAGAGTTGTCGATAAGGTGAATTGCATCGCAATGTTCTTCCCTGATATTGTTTCCTACTGAGTGAAAGCTTACATTGTCGCACAACAGATGTCCGTAACACATGGTTTCTTTTGAAATCGGATCAGTCACAGTATGTAAGGAGATGACTGTGAGAGTCCGTTCTTTCATGGTAGTATGTGAGAACTTTGATTTACATTGTGTCTATTCCAGTTGAATGTGATATATCCCCTCCAGAGTCCTAGTTTCATCCTCTTTCTAACTGGTTGAAAACATGTTCACATAATACAATCTGATTTTATGTGCCTCCCTTCAGTCGATAACAGGCAGATTTAACACTGTCATTGAGACTGAGGTCACGACGATCCGCGCAACACTACGATATTCGATGATGAGTTAGCACGGGACCAGATAAAAATTCCAATGCCTCAGCATCTCCTTTCTCGTCCAATGAATCATTTCCAGTTCACCCGCAACGGTATCTACTGCGTTTTATACTCCCACGTCCTCGTACGCTCCCGTAATCTATACACGATTTGTGTTGACACAAATGATAGATCTTCCATTCCCTATCCTGCATGAACTCGCCCTGCGCTTGCAAAAGTCACTACGTATTTTTGACCATGACGCTTGTGAGATGTGCAACAAGGAGGTTTGAAACTCTGAAAGGAACTGTGCATGATGTTCAGATCTTACGCCAACAGCAAGTATCAGGTCACCGGCGGCAATGTCCGATCGGACTGTTATAACGTTTCGGATTCCGCATACCGTTTTATATATGGCATTGTTTTAAGTGCCACTCATTTGTTCCTAGCGAATATCATCCACGATGCCTGCTTCCCTCCCACTTGAGATAAAGCAGAACATTTTGACTCTCGCCACACGCACTCGATCTCAAGCTGCCAAAAATTTGATGATATCACGGCAGACGTATCCGTGGTAGGCATTTCAGGTGCCAATATATACATGACCTTCCACTGATGTATTGCTGTTGTAGCATGGAAAAACTCGTATATAACAGAATTCTTTTACATGGAGAATCAAACGTCAGGCGATTTTTGCAATGTCTTCACCAGCGTCCACTGCCCGTTGAATTTGCTCAAAAATCCGTCGCATCCTTATTTTTAGTCGGTTCCATAGAAAAATCATCGTTGCTCGATATTCTCTTCCTGTGCAATCGTATCACTTCGATTCGGCTTGTACTCATAACCGATGAATTTGCGACAGACGGATCGTCGCTCTGGAGTGCCCTGGATGCCCTCCCCCTCCAGTCATTTCTGCTCGTCATGCACGTGGAGTTTACATCACCCATCTGCGCATCTACCATGTTTAAAAACCTGAGTCATCTGGACATCCACGGTGATCACCTGTTGGATATGCCACATGCAGGATTGGAGTCTTTAGAAGCATTGACGCACCTCTGTGTTACGCTCATCATGGAGCGTGCTGATCCAACGGCAATCACACGTCTTATCAGCAATGCACGTCTTCGATTACTTGCCTTTCGGGTGGATGATCCGCACCATGAGGTAGAAGAGTTTCTGGAGGAACATGAAATAAGCGACCATAGGATCGTACTGTTGCCCGAAACCACAACACTCTGGGGTGAGCTGGGCCAGGGTGACATGTTAGTATGGGAGTTAGCAGAGGACCAGACGAAACTTCCGATACCTCAGAATCGTGAGTATTTCCCTTCACATGTGAACTGTCGGTGATACTAAGAGATGAAATAGAAGGACATCGATGTTTGCCACTCAGCAGTATCGAAAATGCATACGCCGATTATAATGACACTGAGAAGATACCGGAATGGAATCCGTGCGCTATTGAAAGGAGACCCATGCGAGTCAATGTAGGGCCGGCTAGGAGACCCAATGGAGTGGGGATGGCTAGAACGAAAGTCTAACCCATGGTAATGTCTTTAGTAGCAAACGAGCCTGCAATATCTACCGCGATCAGATCATTCGTTGTACCACAAATTACGCGTAGCATGCAATCTATTTGCCTCAAAATATCATACAGAGCTCTTATTCTTATTAATATATTTGTACATGAGGCTTGCACGTTTTGCGACAAATTTAACTCCGATGATGGAGTATCTACCACGCCATCTGCTTTACTTAAGCATGTCGCTGAGTAATCCCCCTATATCCATTGATCCGAATGATTTTCCAAGCGACAAATGAGGTAAGTCCAATATTAAACTGAATATAACAGGCTGGAACCGCACATCACTACACAAGAGCAAACGGTGTGTGGGCCTTGTGGTCCAGAGTCTCACTTGGGTTAGTTTTGATTTTTGTCACGTCCACATTGCTGCCCAGCGTGTACTATATCGAACTACAGGCATCATTACAGGCATCATTACTAATATATCCAGAAATTCCATCAAGTACCTGTTTCCTCGACGTCGATTATACCGCGTCTCGTTCGTTCAACAAAGCTTTAAATACCTTTATATTGCAAAGTGAATACGTGTCAGTTCAACCGTTTCTTGTACCGTAAGCGCATATGACGATAGGGAGATGTAAATACACCACACAATGGTTTATCTGACAGTATAACTCATCGTTCTTCCATGTTGTTGGATAGTTAACTATGCATGTGCGAGACGTAAGATTGCATGAAGTTAGACACACCACATATTTTTGTCCACTATTATGCAGGCCAGGGGGGGGGGGGGAGGAGGACATGACTAAGATATCGAGGTGAAACAAAATGTAACGAATTTAATAGTACAAGATTGTGCCGTATGAGACCTGCATGGAAGATGCATCGTAAAATGTCATCATTAGCAGATATGAGAGAAAGTCGATCTATATGAATTAAAACTTGGTATGGACACGTTCGCTAATGGATGGATCACAAATCAGCGCTGTCCGCTAGTCCGGTGATGATATCCTTGAGTAATCTGATACCCTCGTTCCGCGCAACGGTAGTTCCATGTTCCCGCTCCATCAGTTCCTCTATATCGTTCCTCTGTTCCTGCGTTTCTCTCTCTAGTCGGTCAACGTCGTCACTCATGACGTCGATCGTTACCTGCTGATAACTAACCTCGTCTTCTAGATCGGCGATGCGGTCTCGGTAACCATCCACCTCAATCCCATGTTCCTCAAGAATCTGCTCGCGTTCCCGTTTCAGGTCATGTACCTGACGTTCAGCATGATCGAGCATTTCCTGCAGCTCCTGTATATATGGCTCAATGGTTGACATTTCGCTAGGAGATCGCCGATTTGGCGTCCCCTCGCCTTCATCGTTCTGTGTAATGTTAGATATTGTCGAAGAAAACGACGGAGGATTGTTACATACGACGTGCGGCGTCTCATCGCTTTCTATCTCATATTTACAACGTTTCAGCGCACCCGATGTCGATGTCGAATCTTCAGCGGGACGTTTCTTTGCAAAATTGAACATGTCGAATGATGAGTGATGAGAATTGATTCTGATCGTAAATAGCACTGTTGAACGATTGATTCAAGAGACGTAGAATGAATTCCTCCTGATATACTCATTCGGCGAGGTATAATTATGTAAGCTGTTGATCCAGTATAATCCACACGTGAATCGGTGATATTTAGTTAACTATCGTGTAAACTGCTTGCAATTACGGTCGTATGTAGATATAATTCAATAATTCGTCGTCAATGTCATATGTACTGCTATTGAATCTCTATATTCCATGCATCTGTTATGTCTGTGATGTTATTCCGTGAGTGGTAACTACAAATCGTAAACCCAGCTCTGCTCACCTCATAGAACGTGTCATTCATTTTTCAGCCGTCGAACTTGGTAGTGGTCAAATTTATCATAGAAATAGTTGATTCATACCGGCGGAATATATGCGTGCCATGTCCTATACCTAATGTTAATAAGTAAGCATCTGTAAGAGTGCCATGAGTCTGGCTCAGAGTCGTGGTCATTTGATTGATGTCCAACTAGGGCGTTTTGGCACGACTAGTCACGGTAGCCTGACTTGCACCAGTAATATACATAGCTAACCCTTTGTGCAGCATACGTATATATCTCTTTGTGTAGTATACGTACCTATCCATTTTTAGACTAGAATATTGGGTAAATGCAACATATCTCACAATAGCAACGCCGGGCAGGATGAGACAACCCTGTCTTCAATGATGGGGACGAGCCCAGGGTCTCCAGAGGTCAGGTTAAACCTCTCGAACTTTACAAGTAATGTCAATGAGCTCAGGAGTGATGACGTGCTGAGTGGACATATATTCATGGATGAAATTGTAACGATCCATTTCGATGCCCTCAGCAAGATACCTATTATAGTGCTTGGTCCAGGCTCGTTTCACGGACGAAAATACACCCACATCAAGTGGTTGGAGTTTGTGAGTCACCTTCGAAGGGAATGCGTGACAGATGGCACCATGATTGGATGCAGCCCTCTTCATTACGTTCGTTTCATGAGTTTCATGCCCATCATACATGAGAGTAATCGGTTTTTTTTGGATCAACACTAGCCAGTTTTAATATATTTCACCATGCGAGTTTATGTCGATGAAGGACTATCCGAGCCTTCTCGCAGTGGGAAGTAGTGCAGACGATATCTAGTTCGACGCCGAAATCGAGGGACTTGCGTTTTCGACTTTTTTTAGTATGTGCAATATACCTCTAGAATTTCCTGGAGCACATGCGAGTTGATGTATATCAAGGACTATCCGAGCCTTCTCGCAGTGGGAAGTGTAGACGATATCTAGTTCGACGCCGAACTCGAAGGACCTGTGTTCTCGACTTTTTCAGCATATGCAATATACCTCTGGAATTGCCTGGAGCACGCGTTCGTTCAGAAATTTTCAATCGCCTACCCGCGGCCCGATGCAGAAAATCGGCTTACAAAGGCAAAGTTGGAGAAGGAGGGCAGGTCCCCTGGTAATTTGCCGTTAACATAGTGCTCAGCGCATCAAGCGTAGCTACGCTATCTTACATCCAACTTATTTAGGTATTCATCCATACATGAATTATTTGTGCAAGTATATCTTTTCACATTAAATGCATCTTATTCGACAAATTGACGTGCTTGTCCTTGAAATTCTTCCTCCAGTGTTCAAGGTCGAAGGCGTCGTCATGACTGGTAATGGTAGCAGCAAGAAAAATACCTGTTCTTAGGGAAGAACCGGACATGGTGTCTTGAGGAAACACAGTGCATGAGCGACGAAAGTGAATTGCACAAAATAGATCGCAGAATTACCATTTACCCACGACTATGAATGTAAGCTCGGGGTTCAGGCCTTTGACCTGCCAGACGTCATCGATCGCCCCTATTAGACACGGTGAAAACAAGAAATGGCCATCGCTAGACTAACTCACCTTTAATTTCCTCGATTTCCTCCTTTCCCGTGAGTGCGTATCCTCCTTCGGAAAGACCGTCTCGGAAAAAATAATGCGCACTGTGGCAGCCCTGTTACGCTCACCAAACTCGTAGATCGTGCGCTTGAAATAGTTGAACTGCATGTACACATGGGCGCTCACGTTCACTACAGACGACGCGCTAGCACACGATTGACTTGCTGCTGCAGGGGATAGATATGCCAAACAACGATCAGTAGTTAGAAATTAACTTGAACGTCATATTTACTCATTCCTACGATGGATAGATTAGTTTGCGATGCACAGAAGATGAAAAGACGAATGGCACCAATTTTTCTGCATGCGTTTAGCAGAGTGTTGATAAACCTATTGATCATTTGATCGCTGACCCTTGAGTAATTAAGAATTCCCCAGGACAATAGAGCCTTCGGCTTATGGAAACTCTCGTAGATCATATTCCACGAACCATTTCGCGGTTGCTGTAGGCCAAGAATCAAATCATTGCGCGCCATGCATTCTGACATCCTAAACTTACAACTGGTCTACTAGCGGCAGGATTGCCATAGTGTATTTTGGCCGTCGGCAGGACACTTCCGTTGATCGAGATAGGGTCTGGGGCTACTGTGATCCGAGCAGTTGGGCTGAAAGGCGAGTCTTCGCTGTATGTCATGATGTTTCATATATATGAAATGCTGCAACCTCATCAACGCTGAGATCAGTACTTCTTTACATGGGGTACACCACGCGTCTGAGAATATTCTACCATAGCAAATGATATATGAGACTGACTAACCTACGCTTGCCTCAAAATATCATACAGAGCTCTTATTAATATATGTGCACATGAGGCCTGCACGTTTTGCGACAAATTCAACTCCTATAATGCAGTATCTATCACGCCATCCGCCTGACCCTAAGCATGTCGCCGAGTAATCCCCCTATATCCATTGATAATGAATGATTTTCCAAGCGACAAATGAGGTAAGTTCAATCTTAAACTGAATATAACAGTCCGGAACCGCACATCACTACACAAGAGCAAACTGTGTGTTGGCCTTGTGGTCCAGAGTTTCACCTGTTGACATTGACAATAACGATGCTTTTGTAGGTTTCATACTATTTGTGACTAGCCGGCGAACGCACTGGCCATTGATGGGCCCACTCACAAGGCAGCTGATTCCCTAAAAGTGGTTTGCACCCAGCGCAGGCCTTCAGCACAATCAGTCGATAATACCCTGTTTTTGAACAGATGGGACAGACACTGTTCTCATCAAGTATTGGTACTCTAACACCGGATGCAGATCACATTGCAGTAAGTATGTATTAACTCGTTGACGTGTATCATTTTCTTACAAGACGAAGTGCAAGTGCAATCATGTTCACAGGATCTTGATTCCAACATCTTCGAATGGAATCGACACTTTATCAACAAAGTCCCGTGTTAAAAAGACTTTTTCAATAGCAAGACAGGGAATCACAGTCTTGTATGTCAGGATTCATATGTGTTTATGCAAATTCAGAGGTGCCTGTGTGCGTCTTGCCAACTGTGGGAAGCAGGTATGTTTTTGTTTGACCTGGAAATTTCGCGGTCTTAATTTTCACAGAGACATGATACAAGAAGCAAATGATATGCCATCATATGTGATGCGCCATAAAAGTAGTTGTATTACTACTTGTGTACTGAAACTGAATATCATATCCCCCAATATGTATCCGATTTTCATATATAAAGTGACTTTAACCTTTAAGGAGAGTTTTATTGCTATTGGGTATGGTCTATTTGTGACGGATATTTATCTTGGAAGACAAAAAAAATGAAATTAATTGGCTATATAGCGCTACTTAACAAGATTTAGATACTTCTTTGGTTCAGGAATTAGTAGCTCCATTAATATCAATATAGTCGATGGGAAAGGGCTTATTGATGCTTTGAAGATGCTCAGATATCAAGTGGATAGCACGGATCTCATTACAATCTACACGAAGTTTTTCTGAAATATATTGACTACGATGATGTCTAGCGAAATCAAGACGCTGTTCTTACCCCGTGCATTAGATGTTGACGAGAAATTGAAACTGAAGACCAAGTCAAAAATCCTCCGATAATAACTATGGTGATCGTGCATGGTATGGTTGTTATCAAAGACCGATCTGGCACTGTGAAAATACCAGCCAAAAGACCAAGAGTAGATAATGCTACGCTGTTTAATAACGCGTACTCATCACTATTGTGATAGATTCAAGTGAGAGTGAGAAAATACCTCGTTGTTCGCAACAAACTAGGAGCGCTATAGATGATAGCAACCTTCGTAAAGTGGTATTGCAAGTTATGAGACTGTTAAAATGTTCGAGTGAGAAAATATCTGCTAGAATGATCTATTGAACTTGAGCGCACAGCAAATTGAAGAGACTTCATCTTTTGCCCAAAGTGTTGTGCCACAACGCCTGCAAAAATGCAGTTGACGCTAAGGATAAGTGAAAGAGAGCACAGCGTTCTTGTTGTGACTTGGGAACCAATATTCGGAATAGCAAGTATGCTAGCATCTACTGCCATGATAACGCCCGCCTGGGAAATAAACAAGCACAAAAATAACAGTAAAGTCTATGTTGAAGGTAAATTACATACCAGAGTGCTGTGCCTTATGTTATCGTCGTTGAAATGGTCAAGGAATTTCTTGATATCAAGCAGATTGACAATACCGTCAACGTGAAGCTTTTCAACATGCTCCAATACCATCACCGGGACACCAAACATAGCAGCCGTCGATAGCCAAGATAAAAAATGGATATTTCGCTTTCTTTTGCTTCCTTCAATTGAATGGGTCCGCATCAGACGAGCTTCTGGAAAACCATAGTAGTTGAGAAACTGGTGATGGCCTTCCCAGCAATTTAGACCTAAATTTTCAGAGCGCTAATCTGTCACTCACGTAAGATATTCCATATCCTTCCTGTTTGTTTATGCGAGTCAGTCAGTATTCGAACGATAGATTCCATCAACATAAGCGCACCACAGTATGCGACTCCTTGTTCCTTCAAGGATGTATCGGAGTTCAGAAGGTTCTCTGCAATTTTGTTTTAAAAAAGGAGACGGTTGTATAATGTCTTGCGAAGTACCAAAGCTGATAAGGCGAGCGATCACTTTCTCCGTTTGGTCTGTGCTCCAAAACAACGACGCCGCAGTTGATTGTTCAAGAATCAACCCCTCTATTATTTATTTTTCGATATCAGTCATTGCTTGATACAAGATGCGTTTCTTACCTGCTAGAAACCATTCTAAGTGTGCGCGTAGCTCAGTAGCATCCGAGCGTTGCATACTATAATGTCTTGGAAAGAAATCAATGTGCTTCCTGAAAAGATCCGGGTCAGTATCCTAGAAGTCTTTTTCTACCTCATCAACATGTTCTCACCAAAATTGTGCCTCCAGCTCGAGCCCTGAGGTCACAATAGAAATTTCAGCATAATTTGAATGCGTTAATTGTGGAATAGAACTTGCGCTTGTGGTTCCACTCTCTCGCAAAGGGGCATTCCTCGAATAGAAGGTCGGCGTTAAAATCCTCAAACCAAGCAATGATGCGGGCATCCGGGACGACGCAATAGTATTCGTAGTAGTCTCTGTCTTCTCTTGTAACAGGCCTT